CTTTTATAGGCTGCACTGACCGCTCTCTTTCTGCCCTCCCTTAATGAATGCATAATAAAGGCTTGTGTTACGTCTAAAGTGATTGGGTCAATACGTCAAGTACTGACCACAGCACAGCTTACAAGTACTCTGACCATGCAAACGATCAGGTTGCCATGTTGACTAGCTCTAAATACATGAACTGATGGGCAATTTCGAGGCGAAAAAATGCAAAGAGAGAAAGAGAGAGAGAGAAAGAGAGAGAGAGAGAGAGATAGAGAGAGAGAGAGGGGGGGGGGCACAGAATACATGTATACAAAATGTGGAGGACAGAAAGTTGAACAAGGAGAGGGAACTGACAGAGGAAAAAAGAGAGAGGATTATTCTCCTATTTTTCAAAAAGGGGGACGGTTTGAATGCTCATGAGAAATTTGATATCACATAAATATCTTTTAGAGGATTCATATATCCCCTTTCACTGGAAAAAAAAGGCATGTAACCTTTAAAGGGCAATGTTCTTAACCACATCCACTAATCTTTCTCTTCTCTACATCTGAATTGCGTCATTAACAAGGAAGAAAGTCTTTCCTTTTCATTTCTCTTTATGTTCCTGTTTGTTACATCACCTTAAGAAAAATGGGGTGGGAGCGACTATATGTGTCCAAAAATATCAGTCAGACATTTATCAATGTTTTCTTATATAAAGAATAAATGTGTGTGATTAACATTAGTTACATCAATCCATGTCAACAACATAATATTGTTTTTTTGCTTTTAGAAGAAATTGTGAAAAGGAAATCACAAAACACATACTGTTTCATAAGAAAAGGAAAAGAGAGAGAGAGAGAGAGAGAGAGAGAGAGCGAGCAAGAGAGACTGAGGGAGATAGAGAGAGACATAGAGACAGAGCGAGAGAGAGAGAGAGAGAAAGAGAGAGAGAGATAGAAAGAGAGACTTAAGGGAGATAGAGAGAGAGAGAGAGAGAGAGAGAGAGAGAGAGAGATAGAGAGAGAGAGAGAGAGAGATAGAGAGAGAGAGAGAGGCAGATAGAGAGAGAGAGAGAGAGAAAGAAAAACTGAGGGAGACTGAGGGAGACTGAGGGAGATAGAGAGAGACATAGAGACAGAGCGAGAGAGAGAAAGAGAGAGAAAGAGAGAGAGAGATAGAAAGAGAGACTTAAGGAAGATAGAGAGAGAGAGAGAGAGAGAGAGAGAGAGATAGAGAGAGAGGCAGATAGAGAGAGAGAGAGAGAGAAAGAAAAAAAAAAGAGCGATTGTTAAATGCTCTTATGGGAGCGACTCTCCTAAAGCTCCTCGGAGACACAGAGGGAGCCTTTTCTTCCCGGTTGAGAGCAACAGGGTACAGCGATAAAATGTCAAGACGTTTGTTGCATCCACCATTTAACTCTATTTCCGAGGGCCTCTGGGGACTCAGGAGTTTAGCTGGGCAATCAACCGGTAACAGTACATGCTTAACCACAATAGCTTATTCCCTCGTCCCAACTGGGAAGTGAATTGTGATAGTCAATGTCAGACTTTAGGCAGGCATCTACAATTTTTTTGCTCACACTTCTCTCCTAAATTGGCTTTAAGTGCCGTACATTGTACATGTAGATGTGAACAGATAAGCTGGAGTGCTTTGAAATCTAATCCTGTATCAAATTTCAAATGCCAGAGGTAAAGTCCGAGCCCCTGAAACTGTACACTTTCCTGGATATGAACGAAATTAAAGAATAACTACCAGTAGATTTACCTTCATTTGTCTCTATATCTACGTTATTCAGTTAGGCCTGGCTCTAAAGTCACGTTTAACAGAAGGAAACACTTAGATGTAGACCTTAGACTAACCATTTTTGTTAAACCCTTATTGTTAAACCCAATTTTGAATAATAGCCTACACCCAGCACGGGGTTCAAACTTTCCTTGAATACGAGCCATAGAGTTGATTTTCAATTCAGCTTGCTGGACCGTTAAAGAGGGCTTGTGCAGTACACAAGGACTCCCCAAGTTTCACTCCAGTTCCTGAAAAAGTTTACAATGAAGAAGTTTACAATGTAAACAGGGACTCACATAGACCCCCGATATTTCTCTCCAGCCTCCACAAATTTCCTTTCTGCAAGATAAGACTTGACTTAGGTGTTTTGGTAAAAAATTTCCCCCAAAATGATGAGCTCCTCATCAACCTTCTCTAAAGAGGTTTAGTAGCATTGACATGCTGAGACAGAGAGAGGCCACCTTCTACATAATATCTTTACCTCATAATACCGGTAAAATATCAATAATAGCTATGATTTCATTGCACCTGTTTTGTGTCAGATTCTTCCCTGAAAATACTTATGAGCAAAGTGAGGCAGATGGCGTTGGTGTTATTGATCTCGACATCAAGGGTATGTTTATGTAATGACTTTTGGAAGGTTGTCCTCAGTTCTCGTTTCTAATATCATGCACTGTGATATTTCTATTTCATGCAAGACTAACAAGATCGATCAATCGCTGTGAGAGATTAAATAGATCTATACACTCTAACTTTGAATGAGGTTTAGTAAAAGAGAAAATAAAACTCATTTGAATTATCACCTATTATCTATTTCAAGAAAATGGCCCCCCTTCAAAATGTTTACAAATGGAATTGTCTTCAATTGCTAGTCTGTGATTTAAACTAAAGCAAACTAACCCTTCTTTATATACCCCATGTTTGATTCTAAGAGGATACAAAGTAATATTAAAGTGACTTGGTAACATTGTTAAGGTTGATGAAAAAAATTACTTAATTGTTGTATAAAATGTTACTTACTATATTCCCTCTACTGTACTAACCCTCTGACATGCAAAAAATCCTGAAAAAATTCTCAAACCACAAAGATATCTATGGTTTTCTTTGAAGGAGTCGATGTACGACTCCCTCTAACAGTGATTAACAGTTAATTCTCACAACCATTTTTGAATTTTCCCAACCGTTTTTCCATGAAAAAAAGACATAAAACAGGCTATACAATATCTGTCAACACCTAAATGTCTGGAATGGAATATAGAGCCATTTTATTGCTTTGTGAGATTTCCATTCACCTAAAATGTAATTAAATATTGTAATAATATAGATGGGAGAATTAAGGAATCGATCTGATCAGTTTTTCCCAATTTGTACCATGAATAATAGTCTGTTTTCACTTAAATTTTCAGATTATCTTTTATTGTACATCTAGCATTGAAGTCACTACCTTAGCACCACTATCTCTCATCTGAACAATGTTACCAAGTCCCTTTAAGTGAATAAATCTAATAAAAAAAGCATGATTTTTTTCACAAAGTATGTTCATATCTACTGAAGATGGTATAATGTTCTCAAAAGAAAATCGGGACAAAAACAGAATGAGAAAGAGCAAAATTTATGCTTTACAGAAGATCCAAAGAGCCCCTGGAAGTAATAAAATGGAAAAATTATTCTCCCTTCAAAACCTGAATGAAGAAAACCTTTGGACATTAATCGCATTTGAAAAGCAATTACTGTTTTATAAGATGGGCATCATCTAGTGAAATTGGATTTCCCGGCCAAATGAAGAAAGAAAAGTGAAAAAAAGAGAGTCTTTGATTGAAGATCATTACCTAGTCGCGATCTCTTTGATTCACAGAAAGATTGGCCTGTTTAGTTTAAATCTAAATGAAAGAAAGAGAATGAGGAGATGAGCCCAATATTAACATACTTTCATTGAATCCCCCTTCATAAGAAAATAAGGATAATGTGATGACACAATTAGGCCTCTTCTTTCAAGCGCTCCTCCTGGAGTAGAAACCGACCGGGCAAGGGGGATTTACGGAAACCGGATTCCTACCAGCGAATCAATTGAGAACAAACGAGGTAGTCTGCTAGAGTGACAGAATCAGATCCGTTTCAAGGAAGAAGGAGAAACTATGGGTAACTAGAGCAACGACCCGGTTGTGACCAACAACATCTTGTGTTACCACATTTAGAAAAAGGTCTTGCATTCTGACTTCTTGCACCTCTGCAATTTGGTATTCGTGTACAAATTACAACGCAACTATGAGTGCTAACAATATTCTCATTCTATTTAGCTCTCTCCAGTAGACTATACACACACACAAAAGAAAAACAAACGTGACCATCCATTTCAATATTATGTGATAGCACAATTCAAACTAACAGAGGATGATAGATGATAATTTGCACTTTAATTGAAATTGTTTAGTTTAAGTTAAAGTTCCTTTCTTTCAATCATAAAACAAAGACAATTATAAAAGGTGATGTATAATTTATACATAATTGGACCTAACCACACTCACTCTTTTCTATCATGACTCTAGGGATGTCTAGCTTCTATCTCATGTGTGAGGTTGTATGCAATTATGTATAAATTATACATCCACTTTTTATTATTTTGTAGGTTTTATGACTGAAAGAAAAGAACTTTAACTTAAAATAAATTATTTCATTTCAGGTACAAAATAACACCTTTCCTCCTCAGATAGTTTAAAGAAATGTAAAGTACATTAATGAACGAATGAATGAATACATGTAGATAGAAAGGCATATAGATGGGAAAAATAAATAAAATAAATCAAATAATTAAACAAACAAATCAATTAATTCATCAATAAATGTATAAAAACAAACAATTTTTTTTTAACCCAGGGAAGTCTCATCAGCATCAATGCTGTTCTCACTGAGGGCCTTACAAAATACCCCAGCAATTGCCAGGTACCCATTTACACCTGGGTGGAGAGTGGCAAATGCGGATTAATGCCTTGTCAAAAGACGTAGTGCCTGGCTGGGCTGTGATGCAAACCCTCAAACCATGGATTGACAATCAAGTGAATGGACCACTTTACCATGACACCCCTAACTATGTAAATAGTAAGTAAATAAATTAATAAACACAAATATATACACAAATTGAAGAATATATAAATATTTAATAATATTAGCATGTGTTTGGGCAGACTGCACAGCACAAAGTGAAAATGCAAAAACAAAGGACAAGCCCCGTGATTTTTTAAGAGACTTACTCTTTGACTGCATAAGCCAGGACGAGATCCGTTACGATGACAGAGAGACGCTGAAACAGGATAGTGGCCGACGAGGCATAGCCAAGGTTATTGACCTTTAGCATCTCGGGGTCAAAGAGCACTGCGATCTGTGACAGGAGGTACTCAAACCACGCAAAGAATGGTGGGTAATCCAGGGTCCATTCCGAAGTGTCCTTCAAGAAGAAGACACAATTTTGAGAAGTGTGAATAGCTTTCTCCTTTTCTACAATAAACTGTAGGACATGCCTTATAACTTAAACTCTCCACTCATTGATATAATTTGGTACAAGAGTTATTAGTTTTAAATATTTTGTTACTACAACACTTACTTCGATTTGGTGTAAGAGTTGTTAGTTTTTAATATTTTGTTGTCAAATAAAAAACATGTACATGTTGAAATACGTTCCCATAAATTGTATTCCTTTTTCAACAATGAAGTGAAAATGAATCTTTCACTACTACACTCTTCAAATTTACTTACTTCAAAATACCATTTGGAAATGGGAAGGCTGTGTGTGATGGCTAGCCAGTTACGATGCACTTCAAAATCAGTTGATCGACTGTATGAAAATAGAATTTTAAAAATGTTGACAGAAAAATAAGAATTAGGGGATATAATATAAGAATTCATATCATTTTCTCATTGAATGCTGAGAGTTTTTTGTTGTTGATGACTTTTTCTTTGTGCAATGGCCAAACTCTTCTCAATTTGTATAAAATGTTGAAACACAGGCACATTAAAATGTTCAAATGATCACTATTGATCATTGACCATGATACCATCAACAAAAACACATCTAGATACACAGGAGAAATGTTTTCAGACTTACAAAAACCCTAAATATATCGATAGCACTATTGCCAAGTAGAGCATGTATTTGAGAAAAGAATACTGCCACTCGAGTCCTATGTGGTGAACACATAAAAAGTTTAATCTTATAGGGGAGGAAAATGTACACCATCGATACCAAATTGCTCGGACAATACACCCAATAATATGCAATGCTTGGGGCTACAATATATTATATTTCCCGCTGAATTTATTGGCTCATCCGTTACGCTATTTTGATGAACTTTCAGTCAAGCGCCCTTGTGAGGGGCCTACGGGTAGAGGGACGCTGACGCGGAGTCGTAGGATGTCGGAAAACTGTGAAAGTACTGATTTGCTTGTAAGAGCATTGTTACTCCGCAATGATAATCGCCTTGCCTAAAGCAATAGACATGATTTATTGCAAAGGGTAAGAATTATGATGGCAAAATGAGAGGAGATATTACGAAATAACAGCGACCTAGAAAGCGGTAGATGGCGATACCTTTATACTTGTCTTATGATTGTACTTCAAATGAATATACACAGAAAAGAATCATCCCGTAAATTGAGAATGGTCCCTTTATACTGTGCAATCTGAAACACGTATGCTTGTTTCCTACACCAATATGTCTATACGTGGCCAACTACATCAAACTGAAATCTCAAGTAAAACACTGTCAATTCAATACAAATTCTGTCTTTTCTTCCACATATGAAGCAAATGAGTTCATCACAAAAAAATGCACACAAATTCCTTTATACTCATGACAAAGATGGCATCCAAGTGACAACAAAAGCAAAAGAATGAGTGCAGTGAACAGTTGAATTATTTAGGAAAATAAGTACTATCAAAATAATTCAATTTATTGATCTTTTGCTAGAAACATATACACCAGATTGGATTTGTATTCAAAAGATAAGTTGGACAATATTAAATTGTACCATGCTTGATGAGAGCGATTTGCTTTCTAAACTCTTTAAACAAAAATAAATAAAAAGGAGCAACTATTTGACTATAATTTCTGTCAGTAGGTTGTTACTGAATAAGACATCTGAACACAAAACTGAACACTGGTAGCCACACAAATATATATTCTAAAAATTTCAATTCTCCCTCTCATTTGTTCCAAAATGAAGGCCTCTAAACTACAGAGCAATGATGAATAACAAAATAACTTACATAAAATTGTGTTATCCTTGTGATTGGAAAGTAACATTAAAGCCAATAAAATACCTAAAAACAGCCTTGCCTCCTTGAACCTTCAAAAGCAAGTATCTTTATAGTACTCCTGCTTGCAATGAAATTTCATATTACACTAACATTACATGAAGCAAAATATTATGAAGGCAACCACCGTTCCTTGCTATTTCATTCAAAATCAGTTCATGATCTGCCACATAGTCTAACCTTACTAATTGGAACAGAAGACATGTTTTTCTTCCCCAGGGGCGACATGAACAAAATTGAGGCAGCCAAAATAAATCTAGCCTATTTCGAGGTTCACCAAAAACAAGATTCAGTATCAGCTGCTCTGCTCGATGCATTCGCTTGTTTTTCTAGGGATCGACAAAATGATCTTTGCATCCAATGATGAAAGAAAGATTTCCCGAGTTTTTGGGGCGACTTTATTATCCAGGCCCCTAGGGGGAAGGATTACCCGACGTTGCAGGCCAAACAATGTTCAGTGTGGTGGAAATGAATGTAATGAAGACTGGTTGCAGTTTCTGTCATGTGAAGATCAGTCAGCTCACTACAGAAAACAAATAATAAACTACCCCGTTCTCCCACCTAGGTTTAATTGAGAAAAAGAAGCTGCAGTTATGAATGAAAAGCAAGTGCAGTCAATCTTATTCCCATCAAAGAGCTGCAAAACAGGCAAACTGAGAGACATTTTTTTTTACCCCAACGAAAAAAAAGATCATATTTGTTTGTTTTTTAAATAAATGGATTTAGACAGATTAAAGGTTAAGAATAGTATTGGACATGCCCTAATTTAAAAAAATGAAATGGAAGCTCTTATTACCAATCATGTGAAAGAAATATGTTTTGACTTATACAGTACATGATGATAATTTTTTTTCCAGGAAACCGCCTACTAATTGATATATTTGGTAAATTAATTTATCTATTGGTATGTGAGAGATAAACGCACGTGTCATGCACTTGAGGGTAGTCCGATATACATCATTCTGTGTACAGTGATTGTAACTTTACCAAGACTGGGCCAAATTTCTTATCATTTTGATGATTCCAGAACCTTGCAGTACACACCAACACTTATATGCTAGATGATCAACCTTTTCTGATTGATTCCACAACGTTTCTTTCACAATGCAATCGCATGACCATAACTGGTCTTTATATTTAAGAGCATGCAACCACAACATTTCTGTAAGAAATTTTAAAGCACATGTTGAAGCATCATGTGACATTGTGTCTCTCTATTTTTCTTTCTCTTTCTTGATGTGTGATTTTTTGAATTCCATTGCTTTTCGTCAGAAGAATACAGGTGTATGTACCGTTTTAAAAGAGAGATAGAGAGATAGAGAGAAAGAGAGAGAGAGAGAAAGAGAGAGAGAGAGAGAGAGAGAGAGAGAGAGAGAGAGAGAGAGAAAGAGAGAGAGAGAGAGAGAGAAGAGAGAGAGAGAGAGAAAGAGAGAGAGAGATAGAGAGATAGAGAGAAAGAGAGAGAGATAGAGAGAAAGAGAGAGATAGAGAGAAAGAGAGAGAGAGAGAGAGAGAAGAGAGAAAGAGAGAGAGAGAGATAGAGAGAAAGAGAGAGAGAGAGAGATAGAGAGAAAGAGAGAGAGAGAGAGAAGAATGGACCAATAAATAGAATAATATAGAAATAGAAAGAGATGGAAAGACAGAGATGGAAAGACAGACAGATGGAGGACTGAGAGATAGATTTGATTTGATTCATTTACATGTGATACATTTTTCTAATTCAGTAAATGTTATTGTATAGAAAATGTATAAGAAATTAAGTTTAGAATGAGTGAAAATATTTGTATACATGTATATGAATAAGATAAGCATGATATAAACGGATAGGAAGGATGGATACTTGCTCCATTTTTGCAAATTTCTTAATCACCAATTTCCTCTCATTCTCATTTAGGTCACTGATTCTTTAATTATTTCTACTTTATAATCCTCTTGAAATGAACCAGAAATCTACAGTTCAGAAAAACGACCATTTCATTTACCAGTACAAAAATAGATGAAGCCAATGAATAATGCAACGTTTTATTAAAAATGATTGCTTCTTTTTCCAGTTGATAAACAAAATTTAATTATAATCATTGAGCTCCTATATTATCAACCATAAAACTATTATCTCATAGAAACATGATTAATAAAATTAAAGAAATATTTAAAAACTAACAAATGGGCCATGGGTATTAAGAATGGATTAACTAAATTTTACACAACAACATTACATGCAAAATTGCAAATGGATGCATTATATACAATCACCAACTTAATACAAATATTCTGAAAGCTTCTTCCTGCTGTTAAAATGCAAGGTCAGCATAATATATTTAAATGTGGATTTAGAAATTATGGATTAAATTGTATGGATTATTGAGAATACTGAAAATGGCAGCCCAAGGGCTGAAATATATTCAGTTTATAATAAAAGCACATGAAATACATAGGAATATTAAAACAATTTTTAAACTAAGCTAACAAGAATACATTCAAAGATAAGATTAATAAGATATATAATTATTACAAGAACTAAGTATGACCAGCATTATTCTGAAAGTTAACACACACAGCCATGTTTTTGTAATCATACTGAAACTTAAGAAATGACAGAAATCTTGAGGAAAACAAAATAAAAACCAGTATAGGTGAACTTTTGAAAGGTTTGGAAGTAGATACAGGTATGCGGAAGAAGCATAACTGAAAGTTTAAAGCCACAGCAACAAAGTTACAATATAAAGTTTGTAAAGATTTTTAATATGGTGATGAGAGAATACAGACATTCACCCTTTAATCTAAATGCTGATAATTCCCTGTGTTTTCAGATGGAATATTCCTCATTTTTATGAGAAAATAAAATTCTTTCTCAACAATTTTTTCTCATACTGTCCTCTAGACAGATGTCATATGAGCCCTTTTGGAAAGGTGATATTGCATTTTTTCGCTTTTGATGAGCCCGCTCCCCCCCCCCCCCCCTTAAAAAAAAGAAAAAAAAAGAAAAGGTGATCTGTATTTTGTAGCCAGGTGGTGAGTATCAAGCAATATATATGTGGTCAATTCCAGCATAACGGACATGAATTTCAGACCTATATTTCCCTATTTCAAAGAGTCTGACAACATCTTTAAAAAGTCTAAACCAGAGTTGAGTCATATGACCTTTTTTGTCCATCTAGAGCAGAGATGCCAACCTTCTTCAACAAAAAAAGTATTCTTAAGAGCAAAAAACAGTATTTTTGAAAAAATCTCTCAACTTAACATATCGCCCAATCGAGCAGCTTAAAAAACCTAGCAGTACCACGTTTACGTACCCGGATCGGAGCGCGACGTGCATACATTACACGTAGGTTGTTCGCAATGTGCGCAGTTTGGGGCCCGTATCACCATCCTGCATGCATCGATTGAAGATGTAGGTGCTTAATACACTTACGACACAAAGCCCATGATCAGAAATTAAGAAAAATGTCACTAAAAAAAAAAAAAATAAAAAAAATAAAGGAAACAAAAATTAAAATAAAATAAATTTTAAAAAAATTAAAAAAAACGTAACAAAACATACAAAAACGTACTGCCGTATTCATAGCGAAAATACGGAACAAATATGGCAAAAACGGAACAGTTGGCATCTCTGCTAGAGCAGCGTTTATTAACCTTTTTATAGTCACAGCACCCTTTTGAGAAATAAACAAATTTTGTGTCACCCCAACTCCAGATTCACTATAGAATATTCAGAGTATCAGTGACATTCCCAGGAAATTACACAGTATTCCACTTGATAGTTGAAGAAAAAATGGACTCTTTGTAACTGCAAAACAAAATGGACAAGGAATTTTTGTTACCTGTGTGACCAGTTGAAATGTCTGTGAATTGAAATATTCAATGAGTCTAATAAAAGATTATTCTCCAGGCCAAGCTCTAAATGTGTTGTAAAACTATCAGATTAAACATTTCCTTCCTTGTCAGAGCTAAAACAGTGGAGTAACAGACTTGACAATTTTATCAATTTAGCTATTCAATATTATTTTTGGGGTACTCACTCACAAAACAACAATGTCAACATGTTTCATTCAATTTTTAAATGTCAATTTCACAATCAAATTCTCAATACATTTACAAGTAACTGAATATTTTACTTATTAGTCACACAGAAGATTAAAGTCGTCATGGTATTATTTTTAGACAAGATCTCTACAACACTTAAATAAGGTTTAGATATAAATACATTCCCTCTAGAGATTTGTGATAGAAAATCAGTTGCAGTGTTTAAAATTAATCTTAAAACATATCTGTTAATTCAGCATATAACCAATTGGTGACATTTTTGTGTGTTCTTTCTTACTTCTGTTCCTTTGTTTATAATGCAGATGCTTTAATTTCTCTTTTTTTGATTCACAAGTGCGCCTTGATCATTTTGATTTCAAGTGGATTCTGCGCCTAATAAATCTTATTATTATTATCATTACTATTCACAAGCTAATTTTAATTGGCACCTGCTCTCATGCCTTTCTTTCTTTCTTTCTTTCTTTCACATTCTCTCTTACACTTTTTTTTTTATTACTTGATCTGCATGTTAAACATTCTACTGCCATTATATCAGTAAGAAAAACACACCATGTTATAGCCCACTCATAGCAGCATTAATATATTTTAAAGTTAATAGCCTATACATGATTTTGAGCTTGAAATCGGCTGGAAATAACAGAACCGATTTTTTTTTATGGTTATTATGGTGACAGTATGATTTAGAGGAGTCATATCTAAAATTAAGTAGATCTAGATCTACAATCTATTACACCAATAATTTGCACTCCAGGAAAGCGTCAATTGAGTCAATGCTAATGCGTATTGACCTCTAGCACTGCATACTTGCTGATAGGCAGGTATAACACACAAATACACACACCACACACTACTACATACTAATGCACACAATAAAACCGATGTGGCTGATCAGCAAATTTGACACTAGACTTATAATTTGAATTTTTACATCATTCTTTTTAAAGATAAAGGTGAGTTCTGGTAATGCGATTGCATTGTGAAAGAAAAGGTGTGGAATGGATCAGAAAAAGTTGATCATAATAGCATGTAAGTATTGGTGTGTACTGCAAGGTTCTGGAGTCATCAAAATCATCAAATAAATTTGGCCCAGTCTTGGTAAAGTAACAATCACTGTACACAGAAAGATGTATATGGGACAACACAAATGGTGTCGGGGCTCGTACTCAGAGATGCCAACCTTCTTCAACAAAAAAAAGTATTCTTAAGAGTAGTGGCTCCGGTCTGCGGCCGATCGGCGGGAACTGCCGATTCTATTTTTATTGGAATACTCACAGAATACTTCAATACCCTCAATAAAGAGTCCATATACTTACTTATTAAATAGAAGTCACAAATAACCAAACTGACCCACAGCGTGGTCAGCATTGACCATGTTTCGAAATGCTTCGAGTTCCCCGGTTTGCGGGCACGCAGTACCGGTTTGCGGCACGCGTACGTCACAAAGCTTTATGCGCTACGTCACGATGAAAGCATGTACCAAATTACTACGGGTAACCCAAATTCTCATGTTTATCTGTTGCTACGGTAAATTTGTGAAGTTTTAAACAATTTCACCTTTTCCTCGAATGGATCATCCCATACGGGGGTACGTACTACTAGAAACTATCGGGTCATAGGGGGTACACACATCAGCACACATACCATCATACACGATCCCGCATGTTATGTGTGTATTAACACCCCCCCGCCGCAAACCAGAAAAACACGTAATTACGTGCCGGTTTGCGGTCACCCCATGCAACTAGCCATGCGGTGGCACAATCAAAATATCTGCGATAGGAGACAGACCACAGCCATCATACTTCCACAAAAACATCAAATTTCACCTCCAATCGGACAAATATCGGACAAATAGAGCTACAATATTGATCTAGTCATGCCTCGATCTCTTAACTTAAAAGTTAGCACCTGCTGGAATTTTCATCGGCGACTGGTGCCGTAGATTTCCGACATCGCTGACGGATACTCCGTACCGATAGGAGCACCTGCTACGGACATTTTCGGCAAAGCAGAACTTACCGTGGAATCCACGGTAGGTTTCAATGATTATTATCGAGTCATATTCATTTTATTTTTGAAACAAATACCCCTGGCCGCAAACCGGGCGATGCCGCAAACCGGAGACTCTACTCAAGAGCAAAAAACAGTATTTTTGAAAAAATCTCTCAACTTAACATATCACCCAATCGAGGAGCTTAAAAAACCAGGCAGTACCACGTATACGTACCCGGATCGGAGCGCGACATGCATACATTACACGTGGGTTGTTCGCAATGTGCGCAGTTTGGGGCCCGATGTAGGTGCATAATACACTTACGACACAAAGCCCATGATCAGAAATTAAGAAAAACATCACAAAAAAAACCAAAAAAATAGATTCTGTGAGAATTCATTTTCTTTTTTTACTCAGGTTTAACTTTAACATCGGTAACTTGAAAAAAATTGTATTTTACTGCTATTTAGGTGTCATCAATTGTCACTGAAGTACCAATTTTGAGTGAAATCAGTTGAGTTTTGTACAGTGGTGTTTGAAATGTTGAGAATCAATAAAACAGCTTAGTTTTAATACACAGCCAGGATAGTAATGCTGCTATGTGTGAATAATTTTGTATTTTTCTCCCATTTTATTTGTTTTGCGTACTGTCGATTTGCAGGATGTGTGTGAAAGATTTGTACTCGTTAGTGCTAAATATGGTATGAAATCATTGTAGGCAGTGGTGGATCCAGGGGACTCGGGGGCCCCCAATTTTACCTTTTAGTTTAGATGGGCCCCCTCCCCTGGCGCTCGAGCGGAGGGGGGAGGGGGGGGGGTGCGTTTTTTCCAAATTTTAGAGGGTCCCCCCAAAAAAAATTAGTGCTCACTACCCCCCCCCCCCCCCCCCCCCCCCCCCCCCCCCAACCCCCCCCCCCCCCCCTCTCCCCACTGAGTAAATTATCGGCTGGCACGATTTTCCCAAATTTTCGGGAGCATAAAAAAAAATTGTGCTCACTTTCCCCCAAATGAGCAAATTATCGGCCAGCTATTTCGCCGCTAAATATTTTCTCACAAATTGGGCCCCCTCCCCTGCCGCCGGCTGGATCCCCCCCTGATTGTAGGAGTGCTTTCAGAAGAATCCATGTAGACTACTGTAAAAAGAACAGGAAGGATCAGTCCTCATTTACTTTACTAACACCTTTCAAAATACATGGGACTACATACAATTTTTCAAGTAACATTTCTACAGCCTGAACCGCTAAACACGATTCATGTAGTCCTCAATTGCAGCTAATACATTGTATTCAATATCATAATTAAATAATCGTATTAGATTTACTCTTCAAACTTACTATGACGGAATAAGCAGACATTTCAGTGTTGATAAACACGCCACGACTACCCAGATGTAGGCTGCCATTTTGATGAAATGTCTCCCTCTTTGGTTAAATGATCTGAGGGACAACATGTTTCGAGTCCACAAACTGAACCAATACAAGTTCGAATGAGGTTGAAACCTTAAAAAACATTAGGACTAGGCCTATATACTAAGATCCTAAAACGTTTATATTTTGTTTTTAATTTATACATTGCGTCCCTTTCGGGATATGCCGAAAGATTTTTCTCTTTATGGACAAATTATTTCCTTTTCATCTCTCTCCAGTAACGGGGAAGGGGGAGGGGTAGGCTTTTTTTTTTGGTAGCCCGGTGTGTCTCCTCTGTAAATTTATAATTACATTTGCCCTTTTTCCCAGATTTGGTTCACGAGCTTATCAATATCATGTTATCCCCACTTCTACACTATTCCTACATGTCCAAGTGAGCATCACTGGTACATAATAAAAAAAAATTTTATTTTTTTAAAGGCAACAAAACAACAACACTAAAAAGAACAAAGAACAAAGCCCTCCCCCCCCAAAAAAAAAAATACTTGATAAATTTAAAATAGGCGGCCTTATAGGCCTATCGTAATTATTGCGCTATCTGAGAAAGGGAGAGAGAGTGAGAGAGAGTGAGAGAGAGAGAGGAGAGAGAGAGAGAAGGGGGAAAAGGGGGCAGTTTGCATTACATGTAGTGGAAAGGGAATGGGTGGAGAAGCAGTTCCATTTTCCTGTCATTGCTAGATAAGTAATTGATAAGAGAGATTATGAAGGCAAGTGTATATACGAACAACCAATTTTCATTTCGTAATTTAAAATCTATCAAGAAATCACATTTTGGGGGTCACAAGGGCGTTTAACGCAGTATGTTGTAAAGAGCTAAATAGAAGAAAAACAAATATTTAGAACACACGTCTAACTTGCTCGCACTTATAAAATGAATTATGCTAGAAAATAAATGGGGTTTTATGAGAAAAAAACCCAGCATTGCGTGATTTAAGAAGCGTTCTTTTGATTTGGCGTTTAACGGCGCGAGTTGATTCACAGTGAATGACTTCTGAAGATTTCTGACATTTCAGGTGTTGGTCATGAAGACGAAGAACCCAATGTCGCTCGCTCGCTCTCTAATACCCCCCCCCCCCCCCCCGCTTTCCCCCGTCTCTCTCTCTCTCTCTCTCTCTCTCTCTTTCTCTCTCTCTTTCTCTCTCTCTCTCTGTCTCTCTCTCACTCACACATACTCTCTCTCTCTCTCTCTACACACACACATACAACATACATAATATTTATATATATATTATATATATATTTGTATATGATATATAACTAAGAATAATAATATACCGTACTTATATAGCGCATATATATCACAATATGTCTCTATGCGCTGTAAGAAAGAGCAAGAAGGAAAAGTGGATAGAGTAGCATAAGAAGAGTGAGATATGCTCAACATACTTTCTCTCGTTAACATTGGAAAGTATTTTCACCATTTAAACTGATACTGATCATCCTGAAGAGTATCAAAGATGGGGCTTATAATCAAAGATTGCGAGGCAAGAACTTACAAAAAGATATCGGCTTTTCCGTTATACATGGAGCATCGGGAACGTGATCCGTAACGTATGATAAATAAATTCCCTCCAAAAGACATAAAAATATATATAATTATGAACCTTCGAAATTGTTACGTAGGCTAAATCATGAGATTCGATAATTCGTTTATTTGAACAGTTCTACAGAGATTTTGGCAAACCATAATGCTATTTCAAGCTGGCCCCACAGCGCCGATCACTTCTGCTCATATAAAGAGAGAAATTAACAAAAAAGAAAGGAAAAGAAGACAGCTGTGAAATATGATGACTTACTCTCGTAAACTCTTTCACCGGTTTAAGAGTCATTCCGCAACTCATATTTTTTCAAATTTTACAGCTCTTTCTGCTTCCCCTCAGAGTGCCCCTTACCTGCCCCCTTCGAAAAAAAGTGCGCTGCCCCTCCTGGACAGTTCAAAGACGATCCTTCCGAATCGATTATTGATCATAAATGTTTATATTTATTCAATATCTAACCTAGCATGACCCAACAAGAGATATTTTTTTTCAAAATGATGACATTTCGGGGCTGCCGGCGGACGTCGAAATCGAATATCCACGCTGTTTGGGGCACAATTATTGTGATATGACGAACTGATGACGGCGTGTAATAACCGAGCTCGTCACGTGTATGTCCTCCTGTATTTCTCCTCATCCTCGCCAAATGTCAACAGAATTAAATTTCACGACTTCATCGACGCCCAGGTTCTGGCCCGACGAGGGAGTATAGAAAAAATAAAATAAAAATAAAATCGTATACATCTCGGCCTTGGGAGCGCATCGGAGGCGTTGGAAATCTATTAATACGCCTCCGTATAATTGGGCGCGTAAATGGATAGAATTACTCCCCGACGACTGCCTACGAAGAGTGGCGGGTATCAAGTTGTAAGCCCCAAAAGATCCTCGCTAACACCGTTCCTCCAAGCTCATCCTGGACGCCAGTAACAGTGGAGACACACGGGTTTTACGGATTCAAGTTCGGAGAAGAAGATTAAACAGGAAAGAAATCTATTTGGACGAAGAAAGGGGATTTTTTTTGTTTTGTTATAACGAGTGAAAATGAGATATGCAGATTCAACCAGAAGATTTATTGGAAATGTCAAAGATCTAGCTATGGTACATCCTTTGAAAGGAGGGGAAAAACAGATTAACAATGTTCTAGTCAGTGACAAAATTCAAATTCTCAATTCCCTATGGAAATAACCTCTCCAAGCCATGATTGTGTTTAGAAGTAAAAATGTATTAAAGTTATTGATGATATATTCTAATCTGTAAATGGAGGAATGGGGGGGGGGGGGGGGGGGGGCAACTGCACAAAGTTGCTTTTAAAGAATTATGAAAATACAAATTTAGTTTGTTTTGAAGTATTTTTTGTTCTTTCTGTAAATTTGTAAGTTTGAGATGCTTTTTGACCCTTTTACCTCTTGCGATTCTTAGTTATTTCACCCCCTTGTTTTAATATTCTATACCTTCATCGTTATACACATTTTTAGGCCGTTCTATCTCGGAAAACTTATCAATAAATCTGTTTCTACAAAATCTCCTGACCCATAAAACGTCCTAGCGATACCCCTAGATGGAGTCACCCTACACCCCAGCCCCCACTCACAATCCCACTCCTAACAATCTTTGATACCCTGCTCCCAACGACTCGATCCCAGATGACCTCTCGCAGAGTGTAAATTCTCGCCGTCCGTCTATTAATGATCGAGGGTATGATACGGTGGATGACAGCCCGACATCGCCGTACCTTTCCCTGGTCGAGAGGGAAGGCGATCGGGTGTCGAGCACAGGTCGATTTATCTCAACGATTCGATCATCTTTCAACTTCTCATCATCGGGGATCATCTCGAATTTGGGAAGTAGAGCACGGCGGAGAGGTAATCGTTACCAGTCTCGTTACCAGTCTAACAAGTTCAAGGTGCGTTGAACGATCCGCGCATTTCTTGACACATTTTTGGCGCCAAAAAATGAAGCCGCCTAAACGAGACAGGAAAAAAATAAGAGCTCCCAAAATACGTTTGACGTGTTGGAGCTTGTGATATTTAATGTGGATGGCTTGTCTCACCAATTGCAAATGAAGTGTCTCTGTCGTATTGATTTTTCTTTTCTAGGAATCGACTGCCTTTTTTTTCCCTCAAACATGTTCTTCATCCATGCTAATTTCAATAAAACACAATATCAGTGAAAAAAATGGCACCGCGAAACGATTTACAATTGGGTTATTCTTGACAAACACCGTCGACCGTTTTTTTTAGAAAAATAGAGAAGGGGTGGGGGGGGGGGGTGTGCAAAGTGAGTAAATTGCCCAGCGGAATGATGTTCTTGTATGGGTGTTGATCTGTGTGGTGAAAAGAGGGTTAGCATGTCCCCTCTCCACCCCTCCCCCATGAGCCCCCCCCTCCTCTCCCGCGGGCCCTGATGAGATGTATCTATATTCTGCTTATGCCCCTCTCACCACCGAAATCTAATGTTGTTTTTACTTTACTATGTGCATCCATGCGATTTGAAATGGTCAGTGACTGTTTCTGAGAGTACTCGTCTTCCTCATCTCGATGCTGATCCAGAAGTTGGATACTTGGGAGGAGCTTCAAAGAGATTGGAATCGCTCATCCTTTCATCCTTAGTGGTAATTACCACTGACGATTAAGATGATCTCGCCTCTCAATTGGGGCTTCATTATATCTAAATACATTTACCAGAATCACTTGCGTATAAGTATAATTTTTGATATTATGAAGATTCAAGTCAATTTCAATTAGAATCATGAATCATTTGATACTTGGGAGGAGTCTCAAAGAGATTGGAATCGCTCATCCTTCATTCTTAGTTCTTATTTTCCTCTGGTATTAAGATGATCTCTACCCCCCAATTTCGCCTCTCGGTTGGTGCTTTATTATATCTAAATATATTTACCAGAATCATTTGCGCATAAGTAAGATTTAAGAAGATTCAAGTCATGGGTTGAAAATAGAGTGAGAGCGCTACTTATTACTGAGTTTGATATAAAATCTTTGAAAAAGGATGTCTATGTGGAAAACAATGATTATCAATATCTCATAGGCATTGTATAATGCCCCTATTTGTAGCATACGTGGATCCAACAATAATTGATTGGGAATTACACTGGTTTTATAGTGTGAGTTGGGGGGGGGGCGCCTGTCTTTCTTAGTCGATGTAATCCAATTGCAAAGAAAAAAAAACGGGGTACGGGTGTGGGATGAATGGAGAAATCGCCCCTTTTCTAAAAATACGTGGCTTTCCCTTCTTCCTCTCCCTCACTTTCCCGCTATTCCTTTTTACCATTCGATTGGAGATAATGAAGGGGGGGGGGGGGACACGTCCGCTGTAGCTACGCCACTGGCCCTTATAACAAATTTCCATTGTCTAAATACTTGACGTACGACAGTTTTATTCTAGTAGACCCTTAGCAAGATTCAGAAATATTTGTAGATCATTCTCATGAAGTTT